TCTAAATAATATTAACATACGCCATGACGATGCTCAAAATCTTACGAAAAATTTCCAAAAAATCAAGGAAGTAAAAGAAAGGTTAAATTTCGATATTATTGGTCTAAAATGAAGTAAGGTGTTGGTGTTCCCCTCTTTCAAACTTGTTTAAAATTAACCCAATCAAGCAGGTCAACAAAACTAGCGGCTTCTACGGGAGTCAAAAATAACCTCTCTATTATTAAAGAATATGACACGAGGATTCTCTTTAGTGACTACTTCCCTTAATGTAAATAGCCGAAAGAGTTAAAAAAGGAAAAGAAATAGTCCCCACCCTTGTCTTTCTCTACTCATGACCCTCGTCTAGTTGCATCCTCCAAATCCCAATCCGACCGTGACCTCGACCCCATTTTTCAAGCTTGTTCCCCCCATCCCCAGTTGATCTTCCACTAGGAACGTAAACAAGTCAGGCCAAACCAGCTCGAAGGCCAAAAATTATGGTTCGAGTGCTGCTCGAACAAAAAAGTCTCGGACTTTTTTGGCTCGAGCTCTCTAGCCGAGCTGGCTCGATTTTCTTTTTAATTAGCTTTTAAAAAAATTGGTAATAGTAGGCAACTGCTTACTGCTTCAGACAGACAAGCAGGCAGTCAATTGCAACTGCATGTGATACGAGACCATCGCCCAAATAACGAGGCTCAACCTGAGCTTTGGCTCGGTTCGACCATAGTGAAATTCAGCAATTCATTGCAAATAGAGAAAGCCCACTCATCATATAAAATTTAATACACAAAAAACAACTACTATTTTTTTCTTATTAATGATACATAGCTAATCTACTTACTAATATTAAATAATATAAATAAAACCAGTAAATAAAACGTGCAGTTGAAAATGAATATGAATGGAAAAAAAATGAAATAATGATTACCAGTGGCTTAAGCTTCTCAACAAAAAGTCTTTATTAAAAATATAATGGTTACAAATCTGTGGCTAGAAAATTTTCAGGTGTGCTAATGATCTAAAGGGTAGTTGCAGCATCCTGTCTGAAATTGATTGTCGTAGGGACAACGTGGTCCAGAGATGTTATATATGAAGCCAATTGATATTATTAGTATTTAATCATCTAAACTTTAAGGGAATGAGAGAGAAATTAGCTTCGCCACCTACCGCAACCATCGATCTAGATTAAAATAATTAAAATATATATTGGTGTTCACCCCTTCGATTATAAATAAATCTTGTCGAAAATGAAATAAAATAATTATTGGTGTTCACCTCTTTGAAACCTTGCTTAAAGTTACCCTAATCGAGTAACTCAACAAGATGAGAGCATTCTACCGAGAGCTAGGAAAAGGGCCGACTACCTTTTATTTGTTACTTACTTTGTTTCGTGTATAGACAACCTAATCTCGAATCCTTCAAAAGTATATGATTTGCAAAACAATAAAAGTGGGTAGAACACGATGGCCCTCTAACATGTAAATTAAAATTCATTGGATCATTCCTTCACCAATTGGCTATTATTTTATAACTCGAAAGGGCAAGTCAATTTAATTGACAACTTGCAATTTCCTATTCTATTTATTTATCATTACTCTTGATGTCGTAGTTCAAGCCTGAATCACATGGCGTATATTTTAAGAAAATTAGTGCATGCAGTATCCTGTCTTTTTTGTCAATGTGAATTTGATCTCTATTCAACTTTTAGTGACATTTCTTTCCTCAACTTTCATTTTTATTACACTTAGCTCCTCAATGACATTTTCCATCCAATGACATAGAAAAGAAAAAAGAAATATCCACCGTCTACTTGTTGACGTCCACAATCTGCTATCCATCTTCCACCTATGTCAACCTTGAGGGGTGGCTCAATTGGTCAGGCTTTGGGTTTATTCTCATTTTACTCCTTTATTTATCATTATAAATACTGAAGCTATAACCCTGAGGGGTTGCTCAATTGGTCAGGCCTTGGATTTGCTCCCCAATGGTCACCAGTTCGAGTCTCCTCAGGGCCACTGAGATGAGTACCCGGTCGTAAACTTCAGGGCCCTGTGGAATTAGTCGAGGTGCGGGCAAGTTGGCCCGGACATCCACGGTTATCAAAAAAAAAAAAAATCTTCCACCTTTGTCGGAAGGCAATTTCTAGGGGGCGGGAAATATTTTCCTTTTATTTTTGTTTGAAAATAAAGATCTAATTGTTGTTTCAAGTAAAAACACTTGTTTCGTGCATTTCACATTGCACTTTAACTATCTAAATGGATAGAAACTGTTAACATGAGCCCCAATTGAAATGAAAATAAAAAGGTCGGAGATTCATGCGAATCAAAATTCGTTGAATACCCTATTGCACACATTTATAAAAGGTTGGGAACTCTAAGTGCTATATCTCATTCTTGTTCTTTTATTACAACTTGTTTGGTTTAAATAAGAAGAAAATTAAATAATGAGAAAGCCATATAATTTTTTATTGTCCACCAATTAGTCATGGAATTCACGATGTCATAGCCTAGGGATCCCCCGATTTTTAAATTCCTGGCCATTACCTGGAAAGATTTTCCAAGGATATGGTTTTTAGATAATTCTTTGGGAGGAAAGAAACATAAATTTACTTGGTCAACAAAAATAAATTACAAGATCATACTTTTTGTTAATACAATCGAGAACCGCTAATATTGAATTCGGAATTTGGCAAGACTCAACCGTCAACAAATTTTAACGTCTCTTTCGTCCACACGTATACTGCAATAGAGAGTTGATGCATCCGAGACATCTAAGAGCATAATAACCTAATTGACTCGAAAGGCACATGCAGAAGATGCCATACAAAGCGGAGTTCTGACTTTATATGACATTTTGCTCAGTTGACTATCACGTGACCTTCCTTTTAGGTAGAGGTGTAATAGCTAACAAATGTGGATGCGCAGGTATCTAATCGAATTTGAAGATAATTGTATGAATACCTTTCTAACGATTAAAACATGCAATAAATATCTCAGCAAATCCATTTGTTGCTAGAAATCCAACAGATTACTCACATGCGGATGGACCTCATGTGAGTAAAATATTGAAGAAAAACCTCACACACGCTCCCTGTTGTGAGTATTTGTTTTCTTTCCGTGCATTCTGCTTCTATACGTGAAGCAGTATTCTAAATATCTACATATACTATTAAGTAACATAGAGTACTTTTAGAATTTTTGTTTTAACTTTGATGACTATACTTAGAATTGTTTCTTTGTGGTGTTGACATATTAAGTTTACTTCTTGCTTTCGTCAAGGTCGAACTCTATCCATTGTCGACTGTAATTTACGGCCTAAAAAGCTAACAAGTTGCACAAAGTTTTGCAACCAAGAAAAGTACTCAACTAACCCACCTGAATTAAGTTGTAAATACAGTTCTTACAATTTGCAAGGTGTACTAAAATATATCATCCGTTGAATAACAACATTATATTTTGTTTGACAAAAATAAGAAATAAAAATATCAATGGTTTGTGGTCGGAATGCTTGAAGGATGAGCTGTTTCTTTCAGATCTTACTATTGATTATTATTATTATAACTTGTAAGTTGTCAACATTTTTTGAAAATGAGTTGTGAAGTAGATTTCAACCGTTCAAATTAAAGCTAAACAACACCATATATTTTTACGAAAAGTTGGTTTCATTAACAAATTTGTTTCAATATTCCATATCGAACATACTCCAAACTAAAACTAAATGTATGTTGTGCAAAAGTGTAGTTCTAGTTGATGTATTCGTAAATTATATATTGTGAGTGAATGTTGTTGGACATACGATGGTCCTTCTATCTTATAAGAAAAAGTGTGAAATAGATTGCAATCGTTGAGTTGGACGGAGGGTCCACTGGAACAACTAAAAGTATGGACAATAGAGTTCCGTTCAAATTCCAAACGGCCAGAAATTTATGTATGAGAAGTCGATTTCATTAACCAGACAAAATGAATTAATTATTTGATGTAGATTGTATTTGGCTAAAATTAAAAAAAGAGGTAATGTTACTTTTATATAATTAGAGGGATGTGAGCGGAAATTGTGAAACCTTCATGACAAACGAATATCGTCATTTCAAAACTATTGATTGAACTAAAATAATCCCGAATTTCTCTTTGAGACTTAAGTACAAAGTTTGAGAGCTTGAGGATCAAATTGAAATTTTTAAAAATAAGATTTAATTGAATGAATGATGAACTTAAGGTTTAATATGAATCATTTGAACATAGAAAGGCAATTCGGTAGTTTATCACAATATTTAGTAAAGTTTAGGGGGAAAATGCAATATAAGAATATTTGCAAATTTATGATTTTCAACCTTAAGGAATTATTTTGATGATGATTATAAGTTACGGTTTGAGATTTAGAGGAATAAATGCAAGTTCGAGGGCTAATTTGCAATCTTGCAAACTCAAGGTACTAGAGGTAACAAAGGACCTTAAATTGGAGATTGAGAGGAGTTTAAGACTCTGAATTATTTCGTATATTACAAGAGTATCGATCAAATTGAGATTGAAATAATACATCTATAAAATTAAGTATGTCACATCATTACATTTATAATTCTAAGCTACATATAAAATTTTATTAGTGTTGTACGGGGTATTTTATACTCATTCAAGTTAATTTTATAAGGTACACAATATTTGGGGATGATGTTGGTCGAGGTGATGAAAGATGGTTATCATATTTCGTAAGATCAAAAAAATCATATTTAAACTTAAGTAAATAAGTTTCTATTTTACTATGTTGCGATGTGCAAATTCCATGTTGCAATATTCTATTTAAGATTATTATGTTAAATAAAAAAGATCTATTTTTATTTTGTTACAACATGAGTTGTAACATAGTGTAATTTTACACTATTATATTTAAATAAACAAGTTATGTTTTAAAAGACGTGTTCAGTTTATTCATTACAAGGTTGAGAGCTGAAAGCAAGTGGACAGATAGGTTGTTTTCGACGAATCCCCTGCTTGAGAATCAGCTGTTCGCATTGCTCTTGCGCTAGAGCCTGCCGGGAGAAAAGAAAGTCTCGAGGGTCTCTCCGACTCTGATTAGTGACATAGAGAAGAAAAGAAGATTTTTTCCATTTTAGCAGATAAGATAGCAGCAGAAGACATTTTGTCCATTCCTGCTTTCCTGAAGCTGCCTAAACTGGATCAATAGAATATCACACATGCGCCATTACTATGCCTCACGTTCTAGTTCGAGTTCTAAGCGCAAGGAATTTACAACTATTAGTATAAGAATAGGAAAGGACCTGGCACGGTAGATCCGCTCATCCTGGCTTCGAATCCTAGCTTGAGTTGCCACGGGAACCTTAGCGCCGCGTGTGTGTTGTGGGAAGGTCCTCCAAGGAAGAGGCATAGAAAGAGTGAGAAAGCTCAATCCAAGACATGAAAGTGGAATCACAACTATCGGATCTCGTGCTTAAGCAAAGAGACAATTTCCTTTTGATAGTGCGAAGGTACATCTCTTGGGTAAAGACTAAGAGCAATTCCGTCTTTCAGGGAATTAGGTAACAAAGGATCCACGGAGCGTAGAAGGGAGGAGTTCATACCCGGTTAGGGGATTACTGGCCCAACTTCCTTTTTGTCTATTTCGCATAGCCGGGCTCTTGTCTAATCTCTTTTCTCTCGCAATCGGACATGTTGCGGCGTAAACGGTGATCATTTCTGTTGCGCTTGAACGGGGTTCATTTGCAAAAGTTGGGGAAGGAGCTGCTAGTGTTTTCGACGACTCAGCTCTTTGACTTGTTGCCACATCTATTATCTAGATCCAAGCCAAGAATAAGTGAGAGCAAGCTTAAGCACAGAAATCGAATAGGCTGTTCGGGAGCTAAGAGAGATTGGCAATAAGAGTAAAGAGGTGCCTAGCTTTTTAACAGCAGCAAATCGGCATATCGCTACTTCTATTCTTAGGCATTCCGACATTCCAGGTCCTTCCCGTCCCGAAATTCCTTCTTCTTGATAGCACAGGGCGCAGCGGTAAATACCGAGGAAAGAAGATAAGAAAATGGCTTTTATCCCAGGCCACGGTAGCAAGTCTTCTGCGGAGGAAGGAAGCCAGGCATAGAGGTGCATATCCGCCTTGGAAGTTTGAATGCCGGTCCTTCGACGAGCCCTTTGCTCAAGCTTCTATTGCACCTTTAGAAAGGAAATCGGCATTTAGGACAATTTTCCCAAGGAAAGAATCAAATGGCGCATTTCGATGTCACTTATTAAAGCAAGAACCCTGCCCTGAGAAATCCCAAGCGATTCTGTTCTGTCTGTGGGTATATCTTCTTCTAATTCATCTAGTTCATGTGCAGCCTACTCGTGGCCCTGCTAACAGCTCTTTGTCCGATTCTATTCCTATTTCCTGATTCTATCTCGTCTCATCGGTCATTGAAGGAAAACTATCGATATAAGCATGAGAAAGAGCAAATTAAACTTAAGACATTGATGGTTTTGTTTACAAGTAGCGAGAAAAGAAAAGCATTATCAACAGCAAATGCCGTACACCTGTAATTAACCGCAGAGACGGTGGAAGGTGAAGAGGTCGAGTCAGAGGTAACGGTTGAACGCTAAGCTGCTTCTCAATTCAACGATTTAAGGCCATTGTTCTGGACAGAAATCTGCATGTTATGCACCCCAGCATACATTAAAGTGAAAAGTGGCGATTTGAAGCTTGATACACAGGCAATGAAAGAATGCATTGAATTTGACTGAAACAGGAATAGTTCCTTTAGGTGTTCTCCTTTATAGTGAGTCTAGTCCTTCGCTTGATGGAAGCACTAGGGGATTTCAATGCCTTAGTTCTTCCCTGCTTTAGTAGAGCCAATTAGCGTAGGAGAACTCCTCGCTGTCGGTAAGGGAGAGGTGCTTATGAGCTCCAACTATTCATTCGTTTAGGGCGAGCCAATTCAGTTATCACTTCCTCCACTATATGAATGAATGATAAAAACACAACAACTAAGAGCGGGCCTCGCCTGTCATCTACCAGAAAAAAAACTAGGAAGGCAAGAGAAAGCAACCGCCCCTTGACCTAACAAAAACACTAATAAACCTAATCTAATCTCGATTATAACAGAAAAACTCAAGACGCATTTTGGCACTAGTTAAGGTATGGTCTTCGGAGAATCGGCAAGACATAGCGGACGACCTTCCTTAATCATTGGCAAAGTATCCTTTCTCCACCTTTCCTGGAACTTATGCCATACCCCGAGGTGGATTCGAACCACCAAACAAGCCATTTCCCCTTGAATGCTCGTTTGAGCTACTGATACCGGAACCGATCTCTCTCTGGATCTGAACCAGAATCAGGGAAGACGTAATTGAAATATGCACCTGGAATTCAATCACATTGGTATAAAGAGCCGGAAAGGAAGAAGAGGAGGGAAGAAGCAACGGACTGAGCGACGAAGCGACGGGATTGAGCGCTTCTCCTAGCGCAGGAGTTTTCGTCGCTGGATTAAGACGACTTAGCTACTTGTCTGAAAGCGGAAACAGAATAGGAAGGTGACTAACTTCATTCGGTAAAGCTAGAAAGCAACCGAAAGAGGCACATCAAAAGGTCNGATGAACCTCGCATTGTGATCTTTTAATTTCTATTTTGTAATTTGACATTTAAACACGTTTGATGGTTATTGAATGATTTATATACACTTTTTGTCTCCATGATTATAGTGCACGATAATTGTGTGAGTTTAGGTAGTTTATTTTATACATTCGAAAGAAGGGAAATAAACTCAACAAGGTATAAATCATCGTTTTGTTCATAAATGATAGAAATATACCGATATGCATTACGTGAATCTCGAAGTGTTTACAAAACTACATGCATTTTTATATATTGCATTTGTCATAGAAATATAGTCAAATGTGTTCAATTCTATTCGAAAGAGATTGTTGGATAGGTTAGAAACATTGATTCGTCGAACGATTCATTGTGTTGTCAAATTGTGAAATATGTGTTAAAAGTGAAATTTGTTTGGTGATTCGGGATCCTAGTACGCTTTTTCATACATTAATTTCTTCAACTTTTGCATTTTGTTCGTCATTTTAGTTTAATTTGCATCTTAGTTAATTAAAATAGTATTTTAGTGGTGTTAGTAGCAGAATTCAATAATAGATTCGGTTAAGGTCGATATAATAAAAATTCACGTTAAATCAATCATCGTGGGAACGATACTCGAAATTCTTGAATTTCCACTTTATTACTTGCTAACGATCCGTACACTTACGATGATTTAAATCCGAAACATATTTTCGTGAACAACAATGTTTTTAAATAAATCGTTAACCGTGGAAAACAAATGTCACTGTTAGCAAGATCTGACCTCTGTGTCATAAATAAAATCTTCTCCATTTTTTGCTAGCTTATAACTCTGCTAAACTGAAATTTAATCCATCTTGTTCCAAAATTCATCAAATTCCTTGGAATTTTCTATAATCCGGTGCCAATAAACCCTACTCCCATTCTCCGTAAAAATGTTCAAGAGGTAAGCGTTTTATTTATTCTCTCTATGGCACACACCTCTGTTTATTGCACTCTTATTTCTATTAATCATGATTTCCACTCTTGGCTTACACGAAATTTGATGAGTATTTACCTTTGTTTTCTGGGTTCTTTGTAACTGCCCTTCGTGTAAATTTGAAACGATGATTTGCTTCATGTACTCCATAAATTGCTTATTTTCTCTTTGAAAGATGAACCCATTTCGTAATTTTGTTTTAGGAGTTTGTTTTTTATAGTAATCTGGCTTTTTATTATTCTGAATAAATCAGCGGTCTCTCTTTTTGGGTATTTCTAGTTGGTTTTACTGGCTGCTGGGTAATGTGTGTGTATGTTTGTATAATTTCATTATGCATATATTGTGGGTTGGCACTTCAACATTTCTGGAAAGTGATTGTTTTACCTCTTGGAGAATTTGCTATTTTGTTGGTCTATTTACTTTTTTCTTGTGTTGAACTAAAAAAATGGTCCCTGTGGCACATACAAGATTCGTATAGAAGGGCTTGATCTGAATCGTTTGACGCATAGAGCAATGTCATTTTATGTAACAGAAAATCTTGTAATTTGGGCTGGAATGACAAAATATTTTGTTGGGAGCAAGTGTGGAACCGGCTGTGGTTTCCTCCTTTTCCATTCTGATTGATTAAGGATCATCTCCAAAGTTACACCGTAAACAATTAAATTCTTTGTAGTTTCATTCCATTTGATTTTATGTTGACTACTCCTTGCAGTTTACCAATAATATTTGTTCCATTGATTTTCCTTGCCGTTGCATCTAATGACCTTATACTCATACCACCTCAAACGATTATTCCTGTTATTTATTTTTGGTGGGTTCTACCTTGAGAAACTCATTGTTTTACAATATACCACCTAGTTTGACGTGCTAGGTGGCATGCTGTTGACACGGCAAGCCCATTTCACTGGAAATGAAATAAAAAATATATGAGGAAGCTAAACTGAATATTACAGCAAATTCTCGCAGTGTAACAATGTGGAGGAAATGACGGAGGCAGGGAAAGAAGATATGGATGAAGAAGGGAGAGGAGTGTCAGGGATTTTGGAGATGGGGGAAATCAAGAAGGAAGTTTCGCTTCTGGAAACAGAAATGATGTGGTTCCAGGATACAGGAAGAAGGGAACAGAAGGAGACACAAAATGGAGAAGGTTTTGGTTCTGGGGAAGATGAGGATGGGGAAATAGTAGAAGAGGAAGATGGGGGAAGATGTAGAAGGGGAAGATGATAGTCTAGGAGATGAGAAAAGGGTGGAAGAGGTAGAAGAGAAGTGAAGAAAAAAGAACGTGAATACGAGATCTCTATTTTTCCATTTCCTGAGATTAGCTAATCTGTAAAAATTATTTTCTCCATCATTCAGGTCCACGTAATCACAACCTGTCATACGCTATCAACTCTACTTCTTTGTCAGCCTTTTTAGCTTCCATTTTTTGCCGGTCTACAATTTTCAAGATTTCATCCACCTATAGTCTTTTCCACATAATCCTAAAGCATGCTTTTGTTACTTTTGTAGAACTTCGAATATCTTCACCCCTTGATGATGTTTACTTAACAATTGGATCCTCTAGTTTTTCCTTATCATCTCCTTCTTTGTTTTGTTTATGTACTCATTCTATTCCACTTGACATTTAGTGTATTGTTTAAATCTCAAGTAGTCTTTCCAAACAACTTATCTATTGAGGTTCCTTTATGTCCCACTACTTTGTCGTGCTATCCTTAACACTCTCTTCCACCTTTAATTGTTGGTTGAAACCAATACCTGACCCAAAAGTCTGTGTTGTGAGGTTAAATTCTCTGCATGGATAACCATGTGGTGTCTACTACAAGATTAATTTGCCCTCCTAGTCAAGAAAAATATATACGACTCTTATTCAACCCATTTATGGATGGTGTACATCCATGTTCTTGTAAAGCTGGTCATTGAAGGTCACATACCAAAGAGACTTTTAGAATTGACTTTCTGGCATCATTCCTTTCTCCAAAACGAAATCTGCAATGTATCTTAGTGAAGCCCCATCTTGATGAACGGCAATAAAATCTCTGGGTAAAAATGTTTTCTCCTATAGGTATATTTGAACTAAATCCTTCGTGTATACTCAAAATTGAGCCTGTGAAGCAATCTCCTTGTACTTGTTTGACTATTGTTGAGTGTATTTATATTG